TTTTTTTCTTGGGGTTGGGTTTGGGTGTGGACAGATTGTATCAACGTTAGGTTTTGTACTTTTGTATATTAGGTGGTGTTGGATTCTTTTTGTACGCATATAACTTATTCTCATTACTGGTGTTTATTGAGTGGGACTTCGTTGTTTTCTATTCTTTATTTGACATCGTATATTAACATGGGGTAACACATTCTCTTCTTCAAAACAGATATTCATCGTGTTAAAGCGGACTGAAAAGAAACTGCAGAATCAGTCTTAAGTTGACTGCGCATATATAATCCTTACTGGAAGATTGCTACCCCATCGACATGACTGTCTTTTATACGTAGCCAAATTCAAGAAGATCCATAGCAGTCGGCCGTAAGCCAGGCACTGGATTGAGCGCCGCATGTACAGCCTCAATATCCTTCTTAGGTATACCAAGGTTCAACAACTTGATCGTCCAGTGATCCAGCTCAGTCCTTGTTTCATCCTTGGGCGGCAATAGCTCCCGACTAACAGAATCTGAGGTGTAATACTCAACCGAATGAAGTCCAAACTCATGAGCCATGGCTGCTCGGAAGGCGTCTTCCGTGTCAGCAAAAGAGCCTTCGACCTTCAAGGAGTCGAACATTCCAGGGTTGTTAAAGTCAGCATGAGCCTGGAGTAGGTGAAGATACTGTGTAGATGAGTCAGTGTTGACTTCCGTGAGTACTATGGAGGGACTATGGAAGGAGTATAGGATATACCACAATGCCCCAAGACCATATATCCGTAGCTGTTGTCCAAGGCTTGTTGAAGTACACTTCTGGGCTCCGATATGTGATAGAGGTAATGGGGCCTTGGGACGGCGGTCGAACTAAGGCTCCGTTAGTCCACTTTGCGGGACCCAAATCAAGCCGCGAACGGGGATAACGCACCCATTCCCAGATCAGCAATCTTCGTTACCAAGATCTCACCATCGCCGGGCGTGTCGTTATCAAATCCCGTGACAAGGATATTCTCCATTTTCAGATCTAACATAAGCGTCAGTGCATACACACATAGTATCAATAGACACATAATGTCTAGGCAACGAACCAGTATGAACAAGATTTTTACAGTGAATAATTCCCAACCCAACAGCAACAGATCTCATAACAGACCGAATCTCTCCCAATGAAAATGGACGACGCAATCGTGCGCTCCAAAGAGACTCCTCAAAAGCTTCCAGGACCATACATGGAGGTTCAGAATCTAACGATAGCGGGATTACATCGACTATTCGCCGAATATAGTGTGATCTCCGGAAAAGCTCTTGCATTTCCATCTCCTTAGTGAAATAAGGCCATTCGGGACCATCGTCGCTATCCGGCTGTTTGATAATGAACTGATCTGTGGGGTCGTTTTCTCGTGCAGCGCTCCAGACATTGCACGGTTTGTCTTCGCGGTGGAGTAGTGGCTCTAATAGTGTGTACTTTTGTTTGCTTTTGCCAGTGAGCTCCAGTCCTCGTGAGAAGGCTCGGAGGGGAGTTGACATGATATCAAGGATGTCCTACTGGGGTGGGTTGGACTAATGAGTGTAGCCCTAGCGATAATCCATCCCTGGCTTGAGCCAAGAGTTCCGCGGACTAGCTGTTTTAGGTAGGCATTTTTATCGTTCAAAAATCTACGGGGAAACTTTTCTTTCCTCTTTCGGCCATTGCCATTTTAAGAGGGTGAGCTGAATAAGTCAGATAATTTAATTACTCTCAAAGATAATTTACTCACCCTTTTATATTAATTTGCTTATCTTTTCAATACTAATACTTACCCTTGATCCTTAGTATCTCTTTGTATCTATACTGTTTTCCTAGCTGCTTTACTTAGATATCAATAATATATCTATTATAAGACAGATAGTATAGCTTTAAGAAAACAGAGCTCCCACGGCTATCTCCTAGACAAAAGATACGAAGTTGTTCTTCCCTTAACTTCTCTTTTACTCTTTTAACCTGATATCTTGTATTATTGTAGAATCTGTTATCTACTTGTTCTCTCTTGAAGTGTTTTGCTTCTTAAATATAGAAGAGTAAAAAAATTATTATAGTTGGTATCTAAAGTAGGATATATTTAGGCCGTGCAAAATAATTACTTACTGTTATATACGGGATCCAGGATCTTGACTGATGGGAGCTCTGCTGACAAGTCCTTCGTCGTCTCCTTTACAACTGTTTGGACCACGATAGGCTGATCAACTAGCTCTATTGCCTGGGGTATGTTCTTGGCGGAGCAAAGCATCGTCCACGCTCCTATATCTTCACAGATAACTCTCATGCGAGCGTGAGGGAAACATGGATCCACAAACACGTATGCTGCACCAGCACGAAGAACTCCTAACACGGCCACAATTGCCCACTTAGACTTCTCGAAGCAAAGCGGCACAATCGTTTTTGGGGGCAATCCTGATGCACATAGATATTTGGCTAAAAGAGAGGATAAACGATCCAAGTCAAGGTATGTGAGGTCTCCGTCCCAGGCGCTTACTGCCAGCAGATCAGGATTCCTTGCACGGTTTCCAAGGATCGCCTCGTGAATGCAAGAGACTTTTTGCATGGGGATGGGAGGGTTCCACTAGCACAGGCAAGTTTTCTCCGGGGTAATCAGTTGAAAATCACCTAGACGCACATCAGGCTAGTGCATAATTTGGGATAGAATATATCGAAACGTTCTCGTCATGTTGAGTTGAGCGCCATTGTCCCCTGAGAAACATGTCTTGGTTGTATTAGCTAGAATACTTATGGTCTCTCCATTGATATCAACTTGAGAAATTGTGCGCTAATGCTATATACAATTCCACAGTCAGTTATCATATCCCACCAGGCTTTCAATTAAAACATGGCTGGTGTGACTATACCTCTATGGGTTCTATCTTACTCGCGAGGAATGTCTCCCAATTCGAATCCTGAACCATGATACTGTCCATCTCTGCGAGCCCCTGGTCCTGAAACACGGTAATCTGCTGTGTAGTCTGGAAAGCCGATCTATAGTTGTCCAGCATCAAGTGACGGACAGATAGCCTGGTTTCCAAGGACCCGGCGCCGCCGTCCTTCTGAGAAATGAATCCAAACTGTACCTCTTCAGAGGCCGTTAAAAACCCCTAGTACCACCCCCCAGGCAACTTGGACGGCGGCCGATATCTCCACAGGACTCATCTCACATTCGGAGAAATTAAGCTCCAGTCATGGTTCCCCCTTCCTAACATGGCTGTGCTGTGTTTCGACCATTCTAGGGTCTTCAAACGCAAGTGATGACCACGTAGTAATGATTGCAAGGAGAGACCTGTCAGCAGATGAGACTGTTCTCTTTTCTCTGTTTTTGTTTTTGGCCACTCCTTGAATCATTCCATGTTGACTTAGCACATAGATATTTGAAAGTTTCCCTGAATTGGAATGGTGGACTACATTACGCACACGCCATGTTTAATTACTCCGCAGATGCCCAGGAAGTGGAGACGCAGCTCGCTCTAGCACCAACACCAGTTCGCTTACACAGTAGGGATCGCCTGTGGATCTGGGCTAAAATGTAATCGAGACTTGCAACTCTCGTCACTGGTGGGCCTTTCTTCCAGGTTTATCATGTTTAGCACAGGAAATCCTTCCTTGGTTGGGCGTGTATTACATTTTTGTGAGCGTTTCTGCGGGCGTTGGTCCTACCATTATGTAGGGTTGGGTCCAACCCGAACATGTTTCTTGGCGAGGTCTAAGGTTGCTCGCGGGTACCCGTTTATAATTAGGAAGTATACAACCTATTTCGAAAATTATTAATATTGAAGTACCTTTATGCGTCTTAATCATTGTTTTTATATATCCTTATACTGAACTGGGTTCTTGGTGGGTTTTATGGGTTTAAGGTCCTGATCCGTGGCGAGGTCAAATTGTTCATTTAGAAACTCAGCTTCCCTATGTGGGCCGCTCGCTTCTGATTCCATTACTACGTAGTATAATTGTACGATCAATCTAGAAAACCTGTTAGTAACTAGCACTAGTTAGAGTTTATTATTGGACGATCACCCCAGCAATTACAACAATAGGATGGCAAAATGAGTGAAAGGTTTTCAGCCCAATTCTATATTGATATTCAGCTATCCCGGTAGTTCGTATGAGATTTTATTGGAGTTCTAGACTGAGTTAATGCATCATGTACCAACCGTGATGGGATATGGTGTAACAGAGGCAGGAGGAATGATCAGTATGTTGCCTCGTGCTACTAGCAACGTATGTCAGGAAGGATCCAATTCCTCCACCTCTCACATATTCCTTCCAGGACCGCTGACTGTGTAATAGTCATCGATAGGCAGGCCGCTTCCCGACGTGCAAATGAAGCTTTCCAAAGGTACCGCTGGGGAACCCTTGATAAAAGGCCTCAGAACCATGAAAACGTCCGTTAACCTTTCCCTTTCTCTGCGTCCTTCGATTCTTCTGTGGGTGCTAATAGCCTTGCTGTCTGCCATTAGGTACCTGAACAATGAAGCAGCGACTCAGGCCGCGTTCAACAAAGACGGGTTCTATCGGACAGGAGATCTCGCACATATGGAAGGCGACGAATTCATTTTCGATGGGCGAGCGTCTTCTGATTGTACGTGTGACCGTTTTCTTTTCCCTCAAGAAGTTGGCAAAAGTCGTAGAAAGTGAAGCTAATTTACAAATAGTCATCCAGGTCTAACTCTTATCGAGTACCAGCTTTAAAAGTCGAAGCTGCGTTAATGGCACTCCCATACGTGGTTGAGGTTGTTGTCGTCGCAGTACCAGATCCATCCTGCGCCAACCAGATCGCTGTTGTAATCAGACCACGAGTAGCGGCGGTAGCTAATGTTTCTTTGAATGGTGTGCGGAGCGACCTTGCCCATAGCCTGCCTGTATATACGCTTCCTACTAAGCTTCGGGTACTCGGCGAAGAGGAAACTCTACCCCGGTCTGTGTCAGAGAAGATAAATAAGAAAGAGACCCTGAGGAGGTATTTCGAGGGTAACTCTGCGAAGGTGGAAGCTTGCGCACCTCCTCAGATAAAAAAGAATAAGCCGCAAAAGGCTTGGGACTGGGCTGGTTTACAGTAAACATGCTAGACTGACATTTACATTTAATAATACTCATGGCATTTACCGCCAACCTTGATGTGCTGTAGAAACTGAAGCCATAAATGAGTCCCTAGGAAACAGTTCATGGAATATTCAACTTGATATTGTATTGCTTTTGCACCCTACATGATTCTCAAGTGAAGGGATATGTTATGAGATTTCGCATAATCCAGTATTTTTTGGCTCGGGATTAATATGAGAGACCCGAGGACCGCGGACCGCGGTGTTGCACATGCTCGTTCCCTTGGGGGAATTCCTGACCGAGTGTAGTGCTCATAGACCTTGGGAAAGTCATTTCCCATGTGGATTTCTAGTTGTGGCATTTGCTTAAACTATGCGATGCTCGCTTTTCGAGTTGGACACAGATACTATACAGTCTTGATGCGCCACTCTGGTAAAAAGTATGAGGGTGATGTCTCATGAAGCATGGAACAGGATACGAAATGAGGCAGTCTGTGCTACTTTTGGCGATTGCAACTTCTCTACTGTGTAGTAACTGGACAGCAGGACTTGGAGGGCGAATTTATATGAGCCGGCTATGTAGTCATATCATAAATGATGAGGATGGATGAACGGAGAGCGATGGCTTACATTTTCACTGAACATGCAGTCATGGGCGAAGGAACAGCATCTACAATGTTTTACCGACCAGGATGATGAGTAATGGGATTGAAACGAATAAATACATAGCTATTACAGATATAGACCAGCTTATCCTATATGTCATACAAAGAACGATGCGAAAGACTATAAGCACGAGAACCGCATCTAGAGGCAGGTTCGCTCATGCCGACTAGATTCGAGATCGATTCCTAGCGCGCCAATAAGCCAGAGTTCACCAACGTATTGAAGAGCCCTGTCCGCGCCGCCACTGAGCCGGCAACGACAAAGGCAAGTACATACAGCCAGCCCCATGTCCAGCGCACTTTGTTCCCCTGGCGATCGAAAGGTGCCTTGGCAGGCTGGTAGAGCTTGCGGAGTTTGTCGGACGTGTATGGGGGATAGCGTGCGCTCATTAGCTTCTCCATCCACGTGGGAGGATCAATGTGCGTGCGCAGGTGCGTGAATTCGAGGAAACCATATGGGCCATGGTACTTGCCCATGCCAGAGTTACCAACGCCGCCGAACGGGGCACCCTTTGCAGCTACGTGAAGCATGCAGTCGTTGAACGTCACGCCACCGGACAACGTTTCGGCCAGGATTCGGTCCTTGTCCTTCTGTAACCGGCTAAACCCGTAAATGGCCAGCGGATGATCCATGCTGTTAATTACGGATATCGCGGTGTCGAGGTCTGCGTCGATGATAGGTAATATGGGTCCAAAGAGCTCCTCCGAGAGGAGACTGTCTCCGATTTCAATCTCGGTCACGATTGTGGGGCTGAAGGAGAGATCATCTCTGTTTCGTTGTCCACTATAAACTACGTTGCCGGAGGTATTCTGCAACAGCCGCTCGAGACGATCAAAATTGCGTTCGTTGATGATGTGTGTGTAGTATTTTGGTAACAGCTCTGGGGCTCCGCCGAGGAATATGTCGAAGTAATGCATGAGATGATCGACAAATTCACGACGCACAGATGGATGGACAAAGACATGGTTAACGTTAAGGCAGATCTAGTTGAAATAGATGCACTTAGCTCCCTTCCCTGGAACCGACACAATGCTAATTGGCCGAAATGAGCAAAAGAAAGAGGATAGTGAGGGCCTTACCTGACCGGCGTTCATAAATTTGGTTGCTGCAATCCGCTTGGCGGCGAGTTTGATATCCGCCGAAGGACAGACGATGGCCGGGCCTTGTCCTCCCAGCTCCAGCGTGACGGGTGTCAAGTGCTTGGCTGCAGCAGCAGTAATAAATTTGGCCACGGCTGCAGATCCCGTATAGAAGATATGGTCGAAACGGTGCTCCAGAATGTAGCCCATCTCCTTAGCTCCCGCTGAGATACATCGGATGGCATCGGTGTCCAGATATTTCGGGATAATCTCCATCAACAAATCCTGGCATGCAGTAGCAACATCCGACGGCTTCACGATGACGGCACATCCCGCCGCGATGGCATCGAACATGGGGCCCAAGAGGAGAGTGAAGGGGAAGTTCCATGCCCCAATGATCAAAGCTATCCCCTTGGGTTCCTTGCGGACCGTTGCACCACCCAGGAAGTTGAGAGGGTTGGTCCGTTCCGGTTTCTCGTCTCGTGTCCACTCATCGAGATGCTCCAGGTTATACAGGATATCAGCATGACAGCCCGCCACCTCGAATGGCATTGTCTCTTGCAGATGCTTGTTGAGATCCTTGTGCAGGGCCTTCTGCATGCGCTCTTTGTTGTCCTCGATCATCCACCATGCCTGCTGCAATTGCCGTTTACGCCATTTTTTATCCTTGGTCTTCCCACGCGCAAATGATGCCCGGACGGTTGCAAGTGCCTTCACCAGTCAGTAGGGACTGAATAGGCGGAATCCAGGAGATAAGGGGTGCACCTACGCTATCAAAGTCGGCAGCTGATGAGAAGGACATGTTGTTGGCTGTTTTGGTCAAGCTGAATTCCTCTGGCCTTCCTTCGAGCACAACTTTGTATGCTAATAATTGACGCGCTCGGACCGCAATCCAAGGCCAAGATGTGGGGTAGGTTGGGTGATACCGAGGAAGCTTTCCCGAGGCAGCTCCAAGTGTACCAGGCATCGAGGCCGAGTCAATCGTGCGGGGGTATAATTTAAAGATATAACTGTTAGTTAGATTTTCGGTGATATTATATAAACATCATGCCAGTTTAGAGACAATAGATAACCTAGGGATATATAATCCTGCCTTACAATCTCTTCCATATACTTCCCAACGATGTTAATATATATCGTAATTTTATTCCGATTTTGCTTGAAATCTAAGGAATTCATTCATTGCGACCTGCATTTTCGCGCGAACAAGTGTGCATAAATAATGCGCATATGGAAAGTCTCCCTCATGAAGATGCAACGGATATATCCATTCTTTGCCAACAAAGGTCCACGTGCAGACCTAAAAATACACCCAGCAGAACTATCAACCAAAAGAAAAGGCTGTCCAGTCCTGTGCCAATGGACATATGATTGTCTGACTAGGAGCTACGTCCGTGCCTTGAACAAAAGTCTACTATGAAAGGTGTGGTTCACGGTTTATGTGTTGTTACATCTTAGATCATATTCTTCTGAGTCGATGGTCTCTAACGACTTTCCCTTTATATTTTTACTGCAATGAATAGTTTGGCAAATGTTTAGTCACGTGTCAAGCTTATATCACTATCTAACTCTATTATACAAAGTCCGTCTGAGGTCCCTGCGTGGTATATAGCCTTGGTCATCAAGCATTCTAGATTGACCTACAGTGGCGCCTGATCTGTGAGCGCGAGATTCTACTATCCGATTAACCGTATACGATTAACGAAGCGGTATCGGCGCTTTGCTGGAGTCAGACTATTTCCTAACATGGGTTGCTAACCGAGGATGCCCACACTAAGCTCCGAGAGCATGCAGGGATTGAGAGACATATAGAGCAGTTTCATGGCATGGGCAGAAACTAGCATACTTTGACTCTCGGAAACAAAGGGAAGGATTTGGTAACATGCAGGTTGCTGTACGTAATACGATTGCTAAACCATTTGAGCCCGTAACTCGAAAGCAGACAACCTGCACAGAGTACCTCGCCAGTTTAGACAATTTCGGTGATGGAGATATTAGTTACAAGGATAGAGAACTAATCCGGTGGTTGCATGATGCTGCTATTGTCTTCCATCACACAGTGCTCAGGATATCATCTAGGACGAATGGTTGGACTGGCTATTAAATTGATGGCCTGATCTTTTTCGGTCTTGTACCCTAACTTCAAAGTGGAAAAAGAATAGATAAGATTATCAATCTAATCTCTGCGCACTAGTGGGCGCCAATTACTTAATTAGTTGGTCTTATAGTAGCCCGATGTAACCCAAAGCCATTTTGAGTTACATTCAACCACCAAAGATAAGATGCTTGATCATATCAGTTATACTAAGTGTTCACTAGTGCACGCGGTAGCCTATGAGACAGACTCTACGTAGCCACCTTACTAGACCCTTCGATTCCCTGATCTCTACATGTCTCAAAATCCTTACGTAAATAATGGGCTCTGCCTAGTATCCAGCGTTGGATTGGGCTTGGTAGAATCTTCAAATTCCAACATAGACCGTCTACAAGTAATATTAACCCCCCCCCCCCAAAACACCTTGTAGCTGTCTTGGATTATATCCGGGAACTTTTTTTTCAATTACCAAAATCCATCCATCGCACGAGGATGCTTGAAAAGGTTACACCTTCAACTAATGAGGTCCCCACTGCGACAGGGCCTCAGGACCCAGAGTCGGAACAGCAAAATGGTGTGCGTATCGCAGAAGCCGTGACTAAGTCATGGTCCAAAAGCACTTTGATCCAAGTGTATATATGGTGAGTACACATTATTGGTATGGACTGCTATGAGACAAGCGTGCTGACCCTATGTAGCATGTGGCTCATGTACTTTGTACGAGCACTAAATGGAAGCCTGACAAGCAATCTAGCGCCATACATCACTAGCGATTTTAGTAATCATTCGCTACTTCCTGTGATACAAATCGTGGTCAGCATTATGAGCGCAGCATGCACTATGCCAATCGCCAAGCTTCTGAATCTATGGGACCGCACCATTGCGTTGAGTCTCATGCTCCTCGTTTCTATTATTGGCCTCATCGTCATGGCATGTTGCCATAATATTACCATCTATTGCGTTGCACAGGTATATGCCCTGTATGCTGCTTGGCCCTATTGTACTAATTGCAGCTAAAGGCGTTTATCACTGTAGGCCTTACTGGCCTCATATTCTCCCTAGATGTGTTGACCGCGGATACCTCCACGGCCCAGGATCGAGCCCTTGCGTTTGCCTTCACCTCATCTCCATACATTATCATGGCTTTCGCCGGAGCGCCACTCTCTGCATCCTTCAACGGACTCAACTGGCGCTGGGCCTACGGCACTATTGCCATTCTACTACCCGTCGTCACCGTGCCACTGATCATCATCTGGGAGCTTGCCAAAAGAAAAGCCCAAAAGACGGAAACACTGACGCCCGTCCACGAAGACCGTTCCTTGGCTCAGAACATCCGCCACTACATCATTGAATTTGACATTCTCGGCATCCTCCTCCTCATCGCCGGCTTCTCCCTCTTCCTACTAGCATTCGCACTCGCAGGCTCCCAGCCCCAGAAATGGCATTCCACGCATATTATCTGCATGATTGTCATCGGCGGAGTCACAATCATAGTCTTCGCCGCTTACGAGCGCTTCTACGCCTCAAAACCATTAGTCCCTTACCACCTCCTCGTGTCACGCACTGTGACATTCACCTGTCTCCTGAACTTGACCTACGTCATCGCCGCCGACTGCTGGGCTAGCTACTTCACCTCCTTCCTCCAAGTCGTATACCACGTCTCCCTAACAGAAGCAGGCTACGTAGTCGCAATCTCCAACCTAATATCCCCCCTGTGGCTAATCGGCGTCGGCTTCCTTGTCCGCTGGACCGGCCGCTTCAAGTGGCTCCTCCTCTGCGCAATCCCAGTCTACCTACTCGCCATCGGTCTAATGATCTACTTCCGATCTCCAGGACACAGCATCGGATACATATGTCTCTGCGAGGTCCTCATCGGCCTGGGGACAGGGACAATCATCGCCCTCGAGCAGACAGCCGTCACCACCGCATCAGAACATAATGATTATGCATCGATGCTAGCCCTTCTAGGCTGGGTGGGTAGTATCGGGGGTGCGATTGGCAACAGTATCTCCGGGGCCATTTGGACAAACACCTTACCCCAGAAGCTGAGGGAGTTCTTACCGGAAGACATGAAGTCGCAGTGGAAGGAGATCAATGATTCGTTGTATGTGCAGTTGAGCTATGAGGTCGGCTCGCCGACTCGTGTGGCTATTGAGAGGGCGTATGCGGTTAGTCAACGGAATATGTTGATTGCGGGCATCGCTTTTATGGCCTTGACTATTGTGTGGGTTATGGGAATTAAGGACGTTAGGGTTAAGGGGAGGGATAGTAAGGGAAGAGTGCTTTTTTAGTTTGTTTGGGGTGAGGAGGGGGATGTTTGCAGTGTGGAATGTCTGTTAGTTCGGCTTGAGTTTCTTGTTTGCTGGCTCAGCGGGATATTACTCGTATAACTGAGCCAATCTAATTCACAAGGAAGCTAATGGATGTATTACCCATATAGTATTGGAAGTTATACAGATGTCTTTCGAGATTTATAGTGATATAACTATATAAGCTGTAGAATAAAAGTTATATAAGTTATAAACTTATAACACTAGATATTAATTCACACACGACTGAATAAGTCTCTGTGTTTATTAAGGGAAGGAAAATGTTTATTGTTCAAATAGTTATCTAGATTGATAGCTATTATTGAATCCCGTATATCTCTGCAGGGAAAGGGCTAATGTATGAATACGTACAGTACATACACTCACTCACACAAGCCCCACTCCCCGTAGCGGTAATGTCATGTATTTTTATTATGGCTGGATTTATTACCTAGGCAGGCTCTCCGTCATATTACGGCGGAGGTACAAAGGGCGGTGAGTCTTAGCGGTTCATTGTGGAGCGGATTGTCAGCTGAAGTTCAGCTGAGGTTCAGCTGAGGGGCTGGATAATTATTCAACAAATGTAAGGATCTTCAAGACTAAAAAAATCGTGAATAGCTCTGATAGTGTGACTGTGGTGGGGTAAACTAGAGAAGTATATGATTTCGTCCGAGGTACTTATCATCGCCAGCCTTCCACTTCTCTTCTCTTGTGTACCTAGCCGTGTTCGGTTTCTAGCTACTATCTGCAAATAATATTGATACTGGTGCCACTTCCTGCCCTTTACACCATGATAGCCCATGATGGAGTTGTCCACCATCCTTTCGGTGGTGGGTCGTATTATTTCAAGCAGAACCTCATGAGATATCTGGATGACCAATGCACTCGGCCGAGGATCGTTGTCCACATTGGGTCGCAGCCAAACAGCAGCCCGCACCTTGGCAATATGACCACCTTTGCCACAGGATTCGCCCTCGCCGCTGCTCTGAAGACCAAGTTTCGGCGTGAGATTAGGGCCAAGTTCGTCTATGTGGAGAGCGCCCCGACTCCAGGAGAGGAGATCGTGATCGCCGGGGTCCGATATCAGAAGAGTCTCAAACACACCGGAGATTTTGGAGCCAACCAAACGCCATTCCGAAAGGTGCTGGACCAATTGTCTAACCTTTCGGGTATACCATATGACATTGAGACGCAACATATCTGGCGCTCGAATCCAGCGTTTTCCGTCATCCTTCGGAACATCGTGGCCCACCATCAGAAGCTTGGCTCACATCTGTCACCAGAAACAGGCAAGCTAGCTATTCGTGCATCATGTCCGCGGGAAGGATGCGGGATAGCAGATAAACACGGTGTAAACAATCAATATCATCAAGACGGGCGGGTCACGTTTGTGTGTCCTGATCATGGAGACCATCACGTTGATCTCACATCCCCACAAGATCTAGAACGGCTCGAGTTCAATACCCCACTGCGCAATCTCATTCGGATCCTCATCTGCAGTCAAGATTCAGACACGTCGTGGATTATGTGTACTGGATCAGACTACGCCGGTTTTTACCAAGAACAACTGACATGGCGGCTCCTAGAGCATCCAGGAAATGCCCCGATAATCTTCTATGCCCCGCTGGTCCTCGATTGGTCTGGAGTCAAGCTCTCGAAGAGCCTGTATGTCAAGCAAGGTGCATACAAGTACCTATGCGATGCAGGTCGTAGCTACATGCTAGATGCAGACACATTTTTGAAGACTGAAGGTGGGCTAGAGGCGCTGTTTGGGGAGGTCCAGGATTGGGTAGAGAAACCATATATGCTCTTCAGGAGCTACACCATTGATTATCTTGACAGGCAACTGATATCGCGGGGAATGAAACTGCTTCCGGAGAAAGGGCTCTGCTTAGACCACTAGATCATGAATCCATTTTACTTCGTCCAGGATGATGCTCCTTGTAATAGTTAATGACGGTCCATGATTCAGCATTTCCTGTTAGTGCGTTGGATCTGACTTTGTAAAGAATTCAGATATCTTCCTTGACCCGGGCGAACCGGACGCTTTCTTGGGTTCTTCTAATTCAAGTTGCGTTTCCTTTTCCACAGGGCGCTCTTCGGGTGCCCTTGAGATGATATGGTCCTGTCTGTCCATTGGGCAGCTCTCTAGGAGGGCAACTGGAACCCAACAATACTTTTGGGGGGCGCCCTTTAAAAACCCCTTTGAGATGGCTAGTTTCAGGCTGATTGGTTCCCTCAACTTCCACAGATCAAGTATTTCATAGCCGTATTTGGAGACCTTTCTGCCCGCATTGAAGTCCTCATTACCGATCCCGCCGTCCTCGGGGACTTCGCCAGGAACTTTGCCGGGAGAGACGCGGGCGACATGTTCGATTCGCGACATGGGGGCAGATGTGTAGAACCAGATGCGACGAACGCTCGATGGGAGGAGGTAGCGACGGTATTCGTGATTCTTTGCGCCAGTCGCGATATTGTGCATATGTTCGGGCTTTATGCTCATGAAGATGTCGGCCCGTCCGGTTCTAGGGGTTAAGGACTTTTCTTTGGCCATTATGATTCAATGGTTGATATGCAGGGAAGGTAAGATTGGACAGTGTTGGGGAGCTTGTTGTTTTTTTTCCTCCTTCACTGGAGAAGCATTAGTAGGTGGAATTGTTGAACGCGGCACACCAAGCCTATCTGGGCTTAGTCGTATGAACTTAGTCCACGGTTCACGCGTCCACTGTGGGGGTACCTTGCTTAATACGGAAATACTATTCGGCCATTACGTACCTTCGCGTTTTGCCCTACTACGTACGTGCATATTATGTTCATAGTCCAGTGGCATTAAGCCTAGAACTTGTAATTCCAGTACGTCTTCATCAAGACCGGCAATTTAAGATTGTATGTACATTCTCTCCACAGTAAAATCATCACCTTTCATGCTATCTACTCTATACATATAGCTAAAAAGTAGTCTTCAAGTTTGCGATATGGAAACCATTCTCGAAATTCTCCGTAAATATACATATATAATTCTCGGAATGTCGCGCTTTCGGAGTCAGAAGCCAAAAGACCAATAATATCTGGGAGATCTTGGAGAAGTACCAGGAGGTACTCAACGAGCAAATTGGATGCTCACTATACCTAAGCACCCGACCACAATTGTAATTTGCAAACTTGAAGTAATCCAACGACAGATAACTGGAATGCATTTGTTTCTAGAAGCTGATTACAAGTTCTGGGTAGATATGCAGGTGAGAATGTACTGGGGAAGAATGGATTCTATGAATTCAAGACCATGACAAGTTCTCAAACTAAGAAAACCCAGCAATCAAGTATAAGTGTAACAATAACCATTCTTCAACGGATCCATCATTTTCTTAACCTTCCGAGGGGGATTCAGCGCCCCAAACTCAACCAGAGTATCAAGCGTGACCAATGGGGCACCCGGCGGATCATAGACAATAGTAGTACCATTTACAGCATATCGCCTATTCTCCGGATCCTGATCCTGCCACTGCGCCCACAGCCTATCAATAAATGCATGGTGCAACATGAACGAGGGGTCCTGAGGCGACGCAAAGAAATCACCCATGGCACCTCCCACAGAACCGTGGCCGCCGCTGTGTGGGTTCAACACACTAGGGTCACTCGGGGACATGACAGCGAGCCAATCTTTAATGTTGGTGGCTGCTTGCATTCGATCAACCACAGTCTGATTATTCAGCGCTGCCAGCATATCCGGGCTCAGGTTTCTGTATAAACATCGCGGATTGTAGTCCCACGCGCTGTCGGGGATCGGACCGTACGACTTAACTAGAGCGGCAGGAATGGGTCCCATGTGCACTTGTAAGTCTTTGAATGGTCCCGACTCGACACAACCCCCGCCAACTCCTCGGGGGAAGCATACCCCTCCGGGGGAACAGGGTGCCGGTGCGTTCGGATCGTATACACCGTTGCCAGAGATCGAGGTAGAGCTGCCGTCGAATACTGGGCTCTCGGTTATGTTGTCTGCGTCGAGGGCCCAGTTCCAATACCTGGAAGCATTTGTTCAGTTGGGGCTTTCTACTATTTGTAATATTTGTAATAGTATCCACTCACGGTACGCTGCCGTTGTATCCACATTCCTCGCGCAGTGCCACTTCCCAGAGGTAGACGAATTGGCGGTGCCATGGAAGAAGAAGCCCATTAAAATGGATGTTGTTCGTGTAGTTGATATGAGTCCTTGGTCTATGAGCCGATGTAATTAATCATTTCAAGGAATCAATATTGACTTACGCAACAAAGTCATCCCATCGGTCCCGGACCCCGGGGTAGGTCTCGTTGGATAGGATAGACGGGCGATCGCGTAGGCACCACAACGCTTCGACATAGTTATTTCGCTCAGCGGAATCGAGCTCTCTCCTGATATATGTCAACACACAACCGCTGAGGCTGGACAGGGAGCCGAGCATACCATTCTTTCCTTACTAAGGCGTTTTCCGAAGTGCATTCTGCTGATGCAGCCAGGGCAATACCCAACGTCCCGGAGAGGATAAGTAGGAGTGCTTTCATATTGCGAAGCACGCCCTACGAGCAGAACTAATAGTTCGTAATGGTTCTTTTAGGTGCTGTGGGATAGGTATTGTGCAAGGCAGACAAACTTTCGGGGTTGTTACCAAAATATATAACCTTCGGAAGGCTGTGATCGACTTCAGAATCATTCTTGATGAACGGCATTTTTTCCGAGCCCTGTCGTCATGGGAGGTACCTGCGCATGAATTCGTCGACCCCGGGGCAACATCTCGTATAGGGATTCATTCAGCTGACAGGTAGTTCGTATCTTGACCCTGCATATAGAGACAAAGATTAAGGACAGCGTAGCTACGCATTGGTCGAGCTGGCTCTATAATCGACGCCATTAAAGCATTCAGGGTATTGCGACCGCGACAGAGAAGGAACATTCGCTCCGCCCGTGTTGACAGGTTACGAGAATGAAACCTGGTCCCCAGATATTCGCATTGGATGCCAGTGTGCTATTCTTATCCATGGGTAAGAGGGCACTAAAGTTTCATAGCATTCCCGATCTCTACTGGAATGCCCAGTACATACCTTTCTCTTATTGGTGCTGACGTTCAGGTCGAGTTTTAAATCACTCCGTCAACCAATATAAACCCTTGATGGAAGTCGCTCGTGGCTAAGTAACACAGACAAAGTAGCCAATCGTGACATTTATAGCCTTCATCTCGTCTAAAACTTGGCAAGCCAGGGCTAGAACTGTTTCGGGAGCCTACTAGCTAAAAGGTATGTATTATTGGACCGTGGATACCTACGCACCAACCACTCCCGGGAAGTTCTTTCTTCCAAGATCTGAACACCTGGTCGACAAATCACGTGGAGGCTGGGGCCTGGGATGTGACATGATCTCAGTACAGGGAGTAGTAGTATTCCATGTGGAGCTGAACACCAGTTCGCAAGACGGTGGCACAGTACTGCATTGGCACTTTGGCATGCTGGGCCATTCTGTATAACGTAAGGCGATGCTGTGAGGTATTCGGGCAACCTTTCCAGGGAATTTATAGTGGATATTATGCAGCCCGCCATACTTGGCTTTCAGGTATGCATACCTTCATTATTTTGATAAGTACTACTGCCTTGCGCATTAGTATGTACAAAAGTCCAAGCCATAGTAAATCCTGTTGTCTCATAGATACTCTATGCCCTGTGCCGAAGCGTACTGGAAGACCAGAATCCCAATCGTATACATGATGCGGACCAAAACTCAGACGCTTGGGGACAACACAGCATAGAGCCTACCACTGGCATGGATCTTGATCTTGGACACGCTTCCATCCTTGCACCAGAAAGGAACAGGTTTTCAGCTGATTGTTGTACAAGTGAGAGACTCAGGTTATCCCGGCCTGCTGTGTAACATTATGAGGTACCATGATCAGACCCTGTGTCCATGTGTCTTGCACCCCTTGCTGAATCTATATAGCTCATTGGTGCCTTCCCCAAGGTGCGAGCCCGGCAATTCTTTGAGTAATGCCAGTGTTAGTGAGTAGCTGTAGCGAAGAAAAAATGGCGCATCCCGTATGTTTCCAATTTGCCAACGGACCGACAACTCTCGGGGTGACATTTTCCGTATTGTACCCCGTGTTGTGTTGTTGATGTTCGTAAGAAATGTACATACATGCCATTTCCGACTTATGTGGGACTCAGTAAGTAGTATGATTGGCTAACTGATTACAATACAATGTATTAACCATATAAAGTATAGAACCCGGATATCATGACTAAGCAATATAAAGCCGAAAGGATACTTTAAATCACTTACTGTAGGCAAGGATAAGGAGGCAGAGCTTTGGGCGGCTGCAAGAGGATTTGTCCAGCAGATTAGCAACCCTGGGGTGAAGGGTTCGTATTCCAAGCGTGCTGCTCATAGGCGTGTCGGTCAGTCCAATCGCCGATCCGTTCATGTATACTATGTATATCTTGCTCTTTCTTTAGGAAGTGTTAAGCGACTACCCTGCCGACGCCATGAATATGCTTATGCCTGATTTGGTATCGTCCCACGCTTCTGTTGCACCTCATCAATCCTCAATGAATACATTCGTAGTTCCTTCGACGGTTCCTGATTCGCCGTGTCTCCTTTCTGGTGGCCTTTCAGGCTTTCGAGTCTAGCTATTCGGCGCTTGGCGTGGTTGAACGATTACACCTTCTTTCTGTCAAGGTGCTGTTTAATAACCAATATGAAAAACCCGGAGTGTGGAGACATTTACTACATCCTTGCAGTTACATACTTATTCATTGGGCAACGTAAAGCTATATTGCGAATTGAGAAGATACGAACAAAAACCTGACATTCTTGTCAAAAAGAGACAAAAAGAGTAGAGACAGACAGGTACAATGACAGAGAGACAAGGATATCCCAACCCCGCATATCCTATCATAGTTTCCTAACCTACGCCAACTTGTTGAAAGGTTGGCAATCAGCTGACACACAGAGCCCGGGCTTCGTAGTTAAAGAGCGAAAACTTAGTAAAACTAGAAAAGAGAGAGGACCATCCCATCACTATTGCTCCAAGTCAAAGTCGGACGACGCCGTTGTTATCATTCAATTCTGAACGGTGAAGGTCTTGGACTCCGCGAGAGGTGGCTCCCCGGTTCCAACACGAGTAGCCCAGACTCGGTATCCGGGACTATATTATACTGTGCCTTAGCTTCTTGATAACAGGTATTGGGTAGAGGGAATTAAGCCTACCCGCCTGCGATACCATCAATATGGCCCCCAGGAATGGTTTTGTGTCCCTCTTTAGGTGCATTAGTCACGGTTGTGATGAATACGTTCTCGGCTGGTGGGGATGTCAGGTGGGTGAGCCTGATGTCAAAAGAAGTTGCCCTGGTATACAATCAGCTGCTGTTTCAATAGTTATTGGGTGTTTAAGTTCAATAAAATATTGGACTGGTAGGCCTACTCGATAAGATCTTCCCAGCACACAGTCCAGTCCTTGGTGACGTCTACGACTTCGCCTTCCTTGGGGCAGGTGATGATCATTTTGAGGACGCTAATTAGGGGTTTGTAATGATTGACAGGGAATGTGATAATAGGCTGTGGCCGGAAAAGAACAGAGTGTGCAAAGATGAAACGAACTATTCTCGAATCGCAATTGACTGTCGATGCTGTTTCTTTCATAGAATATGGGCGCGACCATCGTGATATTTATATGCCAAGAGTGCTGATATATCCCATTACTGCATGCCATGTTGGAATAAACGTGATGGCATCATCAAAGGTGGACCACCTGATCTCCTAGTGACGAATAACAGTCATAAGGCCCGCTATCTCCGAGGTAGTCAGCGAAGTGTTTTCGATGTTATGGATATATTTTCCCCGGAAAGAGACAAGGCGCAAGAGGTTTAGGCATTCTCGCAAATGTCATTTGCTGCTATACGTGCATCCTAGGGTTGATGTAAAATAGTGCGTTTATAATCATTATAACCATCACCTGACTACCTGCTCAGGGTCGTACAAAACTCACTGGCTTCGTACAAAGCTTATTTTGCTTCCACTGCAATGTAGAAATGAGGCTTATTTTCGTCCTGACTGGTTGGCTATGACGTATACTGATGTAAGGAGACGAGTACCTATTGGCTGGGGTCAGCATGGACATGAGGCTTATTATATCCTAGGTGACATTAGGAGTCAGAGACCTGCGTCATATCACAAATGCAGATACGGCTGCCTATACTAGCAGATGACTCCACTGTCGCATGGGAGCCGCTAGTTGAGGATGGACCTGTACTAGCCATTGTAGTCTAATAGTTACTGGAGGTGGAGTGCAGACAAAGCCTTTATGACATACTCTTTAGCTCGGATTGGATCCCACTTAAGGTGACTAGCATTAAACGTCCTATCTATGATTCATTTACCATTATTATGTACTCACTATCATGGAGCCAAATAGCACTTTCGTCTATAGTACTGTCTGGGTGTTTCTTTAGGGTTTGTATAGCACAGTGCTCTGCTGGAAACAACATAACGACAGGTAATACAAGCCACAATAAGCGTAGACTGCAGAGCAGCACTACCGTCACCGCTGACATCAATAGCTTTGAAGACAGCATTGCATATGATGTCAGGCACCACTGCTAAACGTAATTCAGCATTATGCTAAAGGACCTACAGCTTTTTAGGCAGCATCCGGCGTTCCCAGATAGGATATTTAATTCACGTACCAGCGTCACATGGGTAAACGCACCACACAGCACTGATCAGTGTGTCGTTGTCTACATCATTTTTCAAGGAATCAACTGTAGATATCTCCTAGACTTTCAGCCTCGTCCACCTTATAGTAGCTTAGAGTCACACTCGGGTTCATATCTGACTTACATAACACCACCTATATTGTAGTGTGTCAGGCATAATCTGGAGATACCGTTATGTAGCATGGACATTTTCTCCGTTCAAATTAATATACCAGTTTATAAGTCCCTTGCACTGGAATCGATGGGGAACATCAAAATCAACACTCAATCTAAACACGTCATTTTAACGCGTCAATCGATCGAGAAAG